TAGAGAATATGGAAAAGTGAGGGAACCAATTTGGAGGGAAAATGAAAAGTCATTTGCAAAATGTAAATAAAATGTTATTTCTCTCATAAAGACAAAGGTGCCTCCTTGCGCCAACGTCGTCGCTCACTCGACTTCATATTGATTTGGCAAATGATGTGATTCTTTGATAAATTTTTTAGACAACATTTATTTAATCGATTTTTGTTAATCAAATAAATCCTGTTAATCTTATCTCTTATAAATTAATTCAGGCCGTTAGTTAATTAGTTAATTAAAAGAATTAATTCACGTGTAATGGTCACGTTTCAAAAAGTTGTTATTCTTTTCGAAAAGGCATTACTTTCCCAATATACATAATTTTTCCAAAAGACGCAACTTTTTTCTGAACAGATACGTTTTTCACTGAAAATGACTATAAAAGGAAGTCATTTTTCGTTTTTTTCGAACACTGAAAATGTTTTCCTTCTCTCATGTATTTTCTCAAAATCAAAGCGACTGAGTCTGTATGACTTGTTGTTGTTCTTAAGTTCGCTAAAGTTAAAAACGTCTGAGGTACCGTTATTTTTTAAACAGGATTAATTCATTTTATCTTGGGAGAGATTAATTCATAACCACAAATATAGTGATGAAATTAAATTTTAGGAGACACGATAATTTCTATAGACTCAAATTATTTTATTTTCTGTCTACTTCATCTTATTTCTATTTCTATTTTGACTAAGCTTTTTAAGTAAGTTAATAACACCAAATACATTACATGCATTGATGCTACTTTGCATTACAATATTTTATAATGTAGATTTAGTATCCAATAGCTTAGACCGTTATTATAAATCTTAGTTTCCGCATTATACAGTGTTTAATGTTATAGTATATCAAACCAAGGACTCGCTCGGGTCAGAAATGATTTAGAATGTCAGACACATCCAAAGCATAGACTCGGAGCTTGACAATGAACCTCTAATAAAAAATCGCATGTAAAAATAATATTGTAAAACTACAAACAACAGTGAAAACAATAGTATTGATATACCTTCTTTGTAACGAAAATAACTTGATTAAACTCAACTATTTACAAATGACATAAATACATTTTTTTCAAAACTTAATAATAACATATTAAAATTATTATATCTTAAAATAACTTCATTAAAATTACTAAAGGTTCGATTTCCGCCTCGTAATCCTTTTAAAGAAATGAGATCATAATCAATATATGATCTATATAAATAAAACCCCACTTCACCAAAACGCGTATTCATGACAGTCAGCCCAATCATGTCAAGTTGTCAAATTTGGTTTATATACATACCCCCAACACTATATTCTTTCTTTTTACAACTGGCCTCTCTACTCATAATAATAAAATAATAATAAATATATTATTCCATATTTTTATCCTATTATAACCAACATTCCCTTCATATAATATAGGGATATTTCTTTCATTTTCTCAATCTCAAAACATAAAAAAAAAATATTCATCTTAAAATATTTCTCTTCCTTATTTGAAGAAAATTTCTTTTGCACCTTCTAATACTCATACTAGTTTTCAGAAATTTCTTCTCAACCCTAAAGGCAATTCCTCCTGCTAACTACAACTTCGCACGAAGAGCCTGTTTGAATTGACTTTTTTTAAAAGTGTTTTAAAGCACTTTCGTAGTGTTGGAATATAATTCCTAAGCTACAAGTCCATTCAAACAGGTTCTAAATCCAATTCGTAATGGGTAACTATGTATCATGCACATTATTAGTACAAGGTGGCAACAAACAATCAAGGTCAACTAAGGTCATTTTCCCAAATGGCGAAATTCGGAACGTACATCCACAAATCAAAGCAGCTGAAGTCATGCTGGAAACACCTAATTTCTTTATCGTTAACTCAAGGTCTTTACACATCGGCAAGAGATTTTTCGCGTTAAATGCTGATGAGGATCTTGAAATTGCCAATGTGTATGTTATGTTCCCAATGCAAAAATTGAATTCATTTGTGTCAGCAGCAGATTTAGGTGCATTATTCCTAACTGCTAACACTGTTTCCAAAAAAGTGTCTTTTGGAAGAGCCAAAATCTTGCCAGAATATACAGAGGAACCAAAATTTGATGACAAAATTGATTTGCCAAAGTTGAAATTGGATGATATTGAAGAGTTTTCTACACCACAATTCAAGAAAATGTTGTCAATGTGTAGATCAAAGAAGCCATTGCTTGAAACTATAGTTGAAGAACCTTCGAGATGAAGATTTGTTCTTATTCTGTGTTGCTCGGACTCTTCAAAAGTACGTGTCAGATCCTTCAAAACACTATATTTTTGAAGAATTTAACTCAAGTATTATATCATTTCAAGTACGGTATTATTTTTAAAGAGTCTGAGCAGCGTAAGTTATTATTCATTCATTCAAGTGGTCTATGAATTTTTAGGATATAGTTTTTTTTGTTTGTGATTGAGATATACACTTCGATGGAAGGAAACGATGTATAAGAAACCTTGTGTTTCTTTTTTTCTTATTTCACAAACAAATTATTGTGGGAAATTTGTATCTTTTGAAATAATAATGGGTTTTACTTTTAATTATTTGTGAAGTTTGCTTAAATTTACTTGTTCTTTAATTAATATAATGTAAACAGATTTTGCGCGTTACCAATCATAGAATATAGTCATAGTTGTATAATTGGAATATTGTTTAGGGATAACAAAATGAAAGTGTCTGTGGCCAACCACTATATCATTTAAATAAAAGTATAATGGAATCTAGCGTATAATTTATATTTTTTTTCAAAATTATATATTGTTAATGATTAATAACACTAAATATTTTTAAATATTTAATATTGCTTTAAAAAGGTCAAATCAAATTATGTTGATTTTTAAAATTAAAAATCAAAGCAATAAATACTGAGTTTTTTCTATTTAATTTGTTTTTTTATTTGTAGTAAATATCCTAGGTGTCTCCAAAAATAGATCGTTCGTGGTTCGATTTGGATCGGTAAAATTAAATTATTCTAGTTGGTTTTTATATTTCTAAAATTAAATCAAACGAAAAAAAATAATTGTCGATTTGATTCAGTTTTTCTGATTTATTCGGTTTGAAAACAAGAATTTTTTGAAGACCTACGTATCTCGACAGACACAAACACCTAGTACATGAACAATCCACAAAAAAAGCTATTGAACCGGCAATAACTTTTTCATGGATTGTTCATTAATTAGATGTTTGTGTCTATCGAGGTACGTACGTCCTCAAAAAAATTATTACTTTCAAATCGAATAGACTAGAAAAACTGAATCAAACCGAATCAAACTGATAGTTATTTTTTCGTTTGATTTGGTTTGATTTTAGAAGTTTAAAAAATCGACTAAATTAATTTGATTTCGATTTTAATCAATAACTAATACAAATCGAACCACGAAAATCCATATTAAAAGATTATTTAGTGCAATTAATCATATTTTAAAGTCAATCCTACGAAAGAATCAAACATTAACACGAATATTGATCATGTAAATGTTACAGCTTACATGACTTGGGTGTGGACACGAATATCATACAGATTGCACCAAACAATGGTTGCTGAGGAAAAAAGATTGTCCCATATGTCGATCTTTTATTTTGCACCAACAATGCATAGCGTATAGAGATTGTTTTATTATGAAAATCCATTGTATTGAAGTTGTTAATGTAATACACTATACATCTTTGATATATGCAAAGAACAATTTCTTTATGTAGACACTAGTAATGTGATATATTGATGCTTGTATTTCTTAATAATATTTATCGACTAGTTTATTTTCGATTGATTGACCTATATTTAGTTTATGTAGACAATAATATTTATTGTAACAATTAAATTTCAATCCTAACCGATTAGTATTAGATGTATAGATTCTTTAGCATATATCCATTGTTTTGTGTTCTCAGTTAAACTGTGTTGACTTTAAGAGGTTGTTATTATTTGAGCATTCTGTGTCATTCTTGTTACTTTGCACTGATACAAGTATCAAAATAACATTTCAATCAACACGAGGAACATAACAAGGTTTTGAATAACTATGTTCTCCAAAAATTAGATATTTAGATAACTGAATTTAGCTTTTAAAGTGCAAAAAAAAAAAAATATCACGATCCAAGCTCATGACATGTGTTGTCCACTTGGACTAAACAACCTAATGGTTTGTCTCTTTGGCTTTGATAATATCTGTGACGTCAGACAACCTAAGCCCATGATTCATATTGTTAGCTTTGACCCCATAGAACTCATGAGTGTTTGTTCCTTAAGGTACACCATTATCGAGCCCAAAAGTGTATGTACCATGTGAACTTGTTCTATATGAAAATGTTTAAGAAGATCATCAGTAGCATCAATCATCATAGTACAAATTTTGTAAAGAGAAGATTCACGGTATCATATCATATATTATATTATATATTATTTATTATAAGTGAAAAGCTTCAAAATAAAAGATGAATTATTATTTTCTATACTAATTATAAATTTAATTAAATATCTTAATAAATAATAATATTTTAATTATATGAGGATAACATTAAAAGTCAAGCAACTATAATTTTAAAATATAAAACTTATTAATAATCATATGCATTGAACCGGATAAGCAATAGATGGTTCATCTGCCACTAATTATTATAGTAGCAAATTTCCTCAATTAATTAGAATAGAATCTTTTGACATTCCAATATTTATATTTGTTCATCTATCAATACGTATCATAGCATATTAATATGTAGTAATTTAGAATACAATGTATTCTCAACAAAACTTTTTTTGTGTAATTTTTGTTCTTTTTTTTTCTTAGGTTTTTTGTAATATTTGCTTAAAGATTTTTTTTGTTCTACAACTTATAATTATGATTGAAAAACTAAAATCCAGGTTTCTGGACAATCAACAGAAAATAAGCTGATTGACAAACAGTATAAGAAATACAAGCATAAACTAAATGTAGATGATATGATAATTTGTTCGTCTCTTAACAATATCTAGGATAGGAAACAAATTGTTCTTGTAGTTATCAAAAATATATATAGTGCGTTACATCCAATACTTTAGAATAACTAAGTTTAATACAACGGAATTTCATAATAAAATAATCTCTATATACTATGTTTTAAGGTCAAAACAGAAGCTCGACACACCGGACAGTCTTTCTTCCTCAGCAACCATTGTTTGATGCAGCTCGTATGCTATTCATGTCCGCACTCAAGTGTCCCAATGGACTCTTCATGCTCAAATTCTGCTTGAGATATGGCACAAATCTTTTTAGCTTCGCAACACGATGAATATTTGTTTTTAAATACCCGAATAATATATAACAACGTCCACTTTCTCCTCCGTATAAGCCTGTTGATCATCAAACAGTTCACTTTCTGGTTGAGAATCATCTGAAGAATTTGGTGATGATCCGTCATAGAAATAGTCTTGTACATGCTGCTGCTTTAAGGCCCTTTCCACTAAATCACGAAGGGTAATTATGGTTTGTAATCCCCTAACGATGGGATGATCATGTTGTCGTCTTCTGGAAGATATATCATAAGGGGATCGCCTACTTCTAAATGTGTCGTTGGTATCAATATGTCGATAGAATCTTTATGTTCCTTCCTTTCATTCTTACAGCAAATGTAGTCACACCACCTCCAGTATTCACCCAATTCTAATCGTTCCATCCTTCGTTACTGCTATCACTTCATGCATAAACAAGTCAACACCAGTACCCTCTTTCACTGTCCAACGAGTGTTGTTAAGATCAAAATAATCCTTACAATCATCACGGCCTGCATGATTGATCAAATAACCAGACGTTTTACAAGTATATGCAGTCTATACAACAGAAAAAATCTGATGGTGTTTTCCATACGCTCTCAGGAACAGGATAAGGCTCAACATATTCTTGTGGAGCAGCTACAAGACATCTATGTCGATGACGTGGCTCACTACCTATAAGCAGTAACTTCTACGCTAAATGTTCATCATCGGCGTAAGAACTGTTAACATTTTATGACATGTAACGATTAAGAAAATCTCGAATCAGAGTACATGAATGTAAAATTGGAGACATGATTTCATCATAATTAATGTTTTTGGTTGAAACAAGTGTTTCTTATGAATTAATAGTATATTGTCCAATAGTCAATGAGATCAAACCACCGATAGGAAACATGTTCTGGCTATCCCCCAATGATTTTGGCAATGTACAGGAATAGCAAAAGCGAAAACAAAATCCCCATTGCAATCTCTGGCTATACCCCCAATCCCTACCTTAACATTATAATCTATGTAGCTCCCATCGGTATTAATCTTGATACTTCCTTGATTCGGCATTGTCCAAAGAACCATCCTGCTAATGGTCTATGGCCTGAGTCTCACAAATTCGGACCCATTGATAGTCTATCTTAAAGCAAATCATTAGTGTTTCTACTTTCTCTCAAGTAGTTTGGTGTTAACAGTAACTAATGTCCTCATTATTGTCGAATTGCAACGGACAGACTCATAGTAGACAACCTCCTCTTTTGCATTCATAGTTGGCATTATATGGCAATGACTCAATTTTGCTATTTAAACGCCATTCAAGGTCAGAAGAAGGGGGCACCCCAAGGGGAAGGTGTGTGATGTCGATAACCTCCTGTAATGTACTATGCTTAGTGTTGCTTCCACAGCTTGAACACATGACCTATAGGTCACATGGAGACAACTTGTTGACTTTACAAATACAAGTATACTTGGTAGAACCGTCACATGAAAGATCTTTAATGAAGCTCGACTTCCTATAACATATTCCCACTAAAAATTATTTTCCACTTCTCAATCAGTTTTCCCATGTCAAGCTACCTAGGGTCTAGGACAGTTGAACTTTTTCCTGCGATGAGGTACTTCACAAGTTCAAAGCTACGCCGTCATACCTCCAATAAGCACCAACATACTAATTATTCGACATTTTACATAACGGAGTTACAACTAGCAGCTATGCTATGGATGCTGCCATAAAACAAGAGGGAAAAATAGAATAGAAACTCACGTATTGGCTGATTAACACTATTTCCCAATATCCTCCCTTGTGATAAATTCTTTGAAAGCATCTTCAATCTGCTTCGTCGTCATTTCTAAACCATAAGAAACAGAACTATATATATATATATATATATATATATATATATATATATATATATATATATATATTACATTCTTTCTCAAAAAATAAATTAGAGTTATACAGAACGTAAAAGCTTCATCACAGCCAAGAACTTAACAATCCTAATCAAGCAACCTTGATTTTCTTTTATCCATAAGTTCTTCAGCTATAAAATCACAATAATAGAGAGAACAAAAAAGTTGAAAACATACTTGAATCGACAATAAGATCGTCAGTTTCCCTCCTCGAATCAACATTATCAACTCCTGCTAGTAAAAATATCCTGTGATTGTATCCTAAAAATCAAATGAAAGTATTTTATACTAATACACATAGAAGGAAAAAAAAAAAAAAGTGCAACAACACTCACTACCTACAACTTTCTAACCTAATCCTGACCTACATTCCTTTTAGGTAACAGATTCAAATTATATAGACAATCATAGCAATGAAGGCTGAGTTATTTGTTCTGACTGGTGCTCGATTCACCATCTAAACTAAAATGATTGTAATTGTAATGAGAATTATAAACAAAAGAAAAAAAGAACTTTGTCAATCACATGGCTAAACCAAATTAGCAAAAACATGAATATGGGGATTCTGATAAAACTACAGATGCAAATTAAGTCTAAACCAAGGAAGTAAAACAGAATCAGAATACATAAATTGAACTGGGTTTTTCTGAATCTCGAATTCGAGAGGAGCCATGTAAATTAAATGTTGATAATATATTAATTGAATCCAGAGGAAACAGGAAATAAAACAAACTCTGAATAGCTTACGAAGTTCGAGAAATCTCATCTGAACGTCACCGCCGTCCGAACGGCCAAAAAAGTACAGAAGCGACCGGAGCATCAGCGCTGACGATGGGCAAAAAAAAAATTGAACCATTTCTCGATTTGTGCGTGTCATCGTTGATGACAGGGCCATGCTAATCTTTCTCTGTATCATTCCAATTTTATTGGATGTCCCCAAGGGGACGAACTCCACTGCTTCGCTACATAGAACTCACGAATTTGTTTCTTGGGCTACACTATCATTGAGCCCAAACTCTCATTGTCTGCGTAATTCTTCATCTTTCTTTGCCTTCATCAAATATTCCTTGAAGAAAATGGGTATCAAAGTGATTCCATTTATTCAGGGTAATCGGTGGTCTTCAACAACCGAAGGTGTTTCAAAAGGTCATTGTGCATATGCAGGAGAGAACCAGTAGAAGAGATTCGTCGTCCCTTTATGTCAAGACTTGTTAGCTAAATCCGAAGAGGAGTTTGGTTTTGATCGCCACGAGTACATTGGCCGATCCAGAATTTTCATTCATGGTTCGAAAAATGAAAGTATAAACAAATAAGTCAACAAATTTTTTTCAAGGAATATGCCCTTGATTTCTTTTGGGATTCAAACCCTGGATCTCACACATAGTTTCAGAGGAATTCACCATTAAGCTATCTCATTTCCTTTGTCATTAGAACGGGTTCAAAATATATATATTCACATAAATACAGAAACTTATCTCTTATATATATATATGGTGTAATTTTTTATCGAGAAGGATTAGGTGAACCCCTGGCTTACCTGTACGTGGATCCGCCTCTAAATGGGTGATCTTACAATACCTTGCAAAGAGGATGTGTTGGTTGATCTTACTTCCAAATTAAGAAGATGATCATCAGTAGCATCGTAGCGCAAATTTTGTAGAATAGTAGGCTTGTAAATGAGAGAGAAAATTCACTGAATAGTTCAAAAATACAAAATTGTTCAGATGATATATTTTAAGAAATACAAGCATAAACTAAACGTAGATGATATGGTAATTTGTGGTCTTTTAACAATATTTAGGACAGAAAATAAATTGTTCTTGTATTTATTAAAAAAATATAGTGTGTTACATCCACTATTTAACAATAACTAATTGTGTCTCACTAAGTTTAATACAACGGAATTTCATAATAAATCAATCTCTTATGCTATGTATTAAGGGTAAAACAGAAGCTCGACACATAGGACGATCTTTCTTCCTCAGCAATCATTGTTTGATGCAGCTTGTATGATATTCATGTCCACAACCAAGTGTCCCAATGGATTCTTCATGCTCAAATTCTGCTTGACATATGGCACAAGTTTCTGTGGATTGTTTACACCATCAGCAACACGATAAATTCTTATTTTAAAATACCTCAATAATATAGCATCCTCTTTCTCCTTCGTGGAAGCCTCTTGATCATCAAACAGTTCACCCTCTTGGTCATCAAACAATAGGCCTTAACACCCTCTAAAATATCAAAAAACAACTAGTGTAAAAAAATGTGACGTTGGTATCTAACATGTTGTCAAAAAGCATATATTTGACATTACCAATAATACAGAGAAGAAAAAAGTTGAAAATATACTTGAATCGACAATAAGATAGTTAGTTTTCCTCCTCGAATCAACATTACCAACTCTTGCTACTAAAAAATCCTGTAATTGTATCCTACATTAACCAGTTCCCAAGTACACTAATCAGCTAATGAGAATATGAATTTAAAGCTACAATTTCCCTGCAATTGCAATAAGATAAAAAAAGTTGATTTGTCGATACGGGGCCATTACACAACCAATATACTTGATGTTTACTTATTTCCACTTTGTAATTTGTTAGAATCAGAAATAAGATTTAAGAACATATTCATCATTTACTGCAATAATTCCATTCAACAAGTGAGTTTCGGAAAGGGTAGAATGTAAACCTTAACTTTGTAGTGTAGAAAAGTTGTTTTAGATAGACCCATGACTCGACAGAAAAGAATTTAAAGCATGGTAGCAAGAAATATGACATCAAAACAACAAGATTCAAACAAAATGAAACAACAGAAAGTAATACACATAGAACCTCTTATTAACCTTCTAACCTAATTCTGACCTCTACACCTTATAGGTACCAAATTAAATTTGTAAACATAGATATAAAAACATATTGGTTATTAGTGAAAGGTTAAATAGTGAATCACCTCATCAGCAATCATAAGGCTGAGTTATTTGTTCTGATAAAAGCTGGATTAGCCATCTAAACTGCAATTATTGTAATTGTAACATGTTGGGATATATACTATTAATCATATGTTAAGAAATAATATTTATTAGAGAATAAATATTTGCTCAATTTCAATAGATCATATACTCATTTATGGTGTATATTTACTTTTATAATAGATTTAGTATGTAGAGTTTTAGCTTATACACAGAGGATTAAATCATCGGTTTTTATAAGTATAATAAAGTTTTTTGGTTCACAATCTAGGATGGAAATTGGACATGCCATCGGGAATGATTGTAGCACAAAATTATATGTAATTTATCCTGATTATGGGAACGGTGTAGTTCCAGCTTCTTGTGCTAATACATTTTGTATGTATTGAACGGGACCGAGTAGAGATAGTTGTTTTAGACTGACTAATAAAAACATATTCTCTAAACTATTAAATGTACTTATATTCTTATTCCTGATATAATTATTATGATCTGTATATATTAGTTATCGTTTCGATTTATTAAAATGTGAGATTCTGAGATGGGTCAATATGCGTGGTAAGTTGGATGATAATAATATAAATTGGTGAAATAATAAGTTAGTTGATGAAATCCATATCTTGTTATAAAGATTGATTAATATGCCTTTTTTGAGACATTTAAAAGTTTTCATCGTGTCAAATCTTACAAGTGGATTTACTAATCTGACACATGAAATAAGTTAAACAGTGCTCTAAAGGAAATTAATCATTAAGTTAAATTCGTCAATAATTTAATTTATTGATTAGTATCTGAAATCTTAATATGGGGAATTACATAAGTGTTTAATGGGGAATTACGAAATATAAATAGAGGAGTGCAATTACAAATTTCTAGTGGAATGATTTGTAATTTAGTATGGTAAGAATAATCAAATTAATAATTTGAAATTACTTCCACAATACGAAGTCTCGATAATTAATTATGTGGTCCCTATAGTGTACATACTTAACTAGTACTCAAAATTCTATTTCTATGGAAAAGGAAGAATAATATAGTCTTTTTTAGTCTTCTAGAAAAACTAGGTTTTCTAATCCTTTTTGGATTAGGAAGAAATCTCTATAAATAGGAATTCTCCTAACCTAGAAAATAGAGGAATTAGTTATCTATTCGATTTGCCTACCAAGTATCGAGAGAGTTCGAATGTGACTTGAAATCGCTGTAGAAGGCCATAGATATTTTATAGATTTGCTTGAAGATTTGTCTATCTTGGGGATTTGCTTTGGGGATTTGCTTGAAGGTTTCATTGGCTCATACTTCAAGAGGTAATTCCTAAATTAAATTTCAGTATGTTTTTGTGTTCTAGCATAAACGGTATTGATTATCTATTATTCATGTGAGTAGTAAAGATCGTAATATGCTTTCGCTGTGCATATAGTTTTCCAACAATGTAACTAACAACAACAACAGAAGTGTAAGTCAATCACATAATTAGCGAAAACATGAATTTGGGGATTCTGGTAAAACTTCAGATGCAAATACTAAATATAGTATACTGGAATCTAGAGTATAATTTATAATTTTTTCAAAATTTAACTAAATACTTTTAGATATTTAATATGCTTTAAAAAAGTCAAATCAAATTATGTTGATTTTTAAAATAAAAAATCAAAGCAATAAAAACATAAGTACATAATGCCTAAAAACATAAAAACATACTAATAGAGCAACAGTGTCTTGGTGGTTTCCGGTGTAGTAGAGGCGGCGGCGGATGGAGAGGTGCGGTGATATTAAAAAATTGTTTGGATTGTATATTGTGATAATAGTACGAAACTTTCAATTGATTACTACATACATTTATATACAGTTTCATTTGGAATCTAATAACAAAGTTTTATTCTATTTGAATTTGTTGTTAGTTGTAGATTAATTAAGGTTGGCAACGCTACCGGTACCGAAATCGGCACGGTATCGGGAACCACAAGCCGGTACCGGTAGTTCCGAATACTTGAAGAAGTACCCGTCCCGGTCCGCTAGCGAACCGGTACCTGACCGGGAGAAACAGGCGACGACTAGTTTTTTTTTAAAAAAATAATTAAAAACAATTAATTATTAAAACTTTTAATATTTTAAAGTTAAAATTTTATACTTTTCAAACTTTTGAGTGTGAAATTTAAAATTTTATAATTATAGTTTGAAAATTTGAATTTAAATTAAAAAATTTATATTCATAGTTTAAAATTTTGAATTTAAATTTAAAATTATATATTTATAGTTTGAAAGTTTAAATTTTACGAGACTTTCAAACTTTAAAGTTTAAAAGCTTAAATTTTTAACTTTAAGAGTTTGAAAATTTAAATTCAAACTATATGTATAATAGTTTAAATTTCACATTTTAAAAGTTTGAAAAAATAAATTTCAAACTTTAAAAGTTTGAAAATTTAATATTCAAACTTTGAAGTTATAAAATTTTAAACTTTAAAAACTATTAAAGTTTAAATTTCACAATAATAAAAATTAAATAGAAGACGATAATAAAAAAATTTAAGGAGAATACTCTATACTTTTATTAATATTAATTGAATAGTACAATTTGATCTACAAAAATATTAGTAGAGTATTAAAGATCTAATCTACAAAGCCACCCTCTAAGAAAGGTTCTGTTTGAGTTAGACATCGAATTATCACACTCATGCTAATAGACAATTACATATTTAAATTTAATAGTTCGTGTTACCATAGAGATCTTTTCTTAAATCATTTAATAATTTTCTAGTAACACAATCGGAAATTGGTTGAATAGATAAATCCTCGATTGCTTCAATGCCGTCGTCAATATAATCTTGCATTATTTCATCAACGTCATTTTCAAATATGGTCGATATTGATTCACGACTTAAATTTCTTCTCTCAACATTAATTCAATCTTTAAATAATACCGATATCTCCAAGCTATTTGCTGCTAATGAATGTCTATGCTCTCTAATTTGAAACTTTGTTGCACTAAAAACACCTTCCCAAGCTACTGCGAAGATGCTTGAATAGCTAATACATCTCGAGTCATTGGTTGAAGTTTTGGAAATCTTTTGTCGCGATTGCTCCACTACTCTAGAACATCATCAGTAGGTTCTAGATTAACATATGCATCAAAATCATTTCTATTATTATGAGAAAGTTCAAGATAAGAATATAAATAACTATCAATATCATCTTCATTAAGTCTACTCCTAGAACTTTGACGTTCTTGATGACTTGATACATTTATATTAAAATTATATAAGTTATACAATTTCCTAACTTCAATTTTTATACTATCTTTAACACTTGACAACTAGGTATTCCATCATTTTCACTATCAATATCTAAATTTAAATATATATTTTTAAACGCCCTAAATGTAAATGAGTGTTTAACAAACAAGCGGTTAAATAAATAGAAGAACACACAAACAAACCACCAAAGACTTCCCTTTCGAAATGCCTACTTAGTGCAATGAGTAGATGTCGTCCCATACCACCACCTATCCTAAGTAGCACATTCTTTTAGAAGGTTTGGCATCAAGACTTCCCTTTCAGAAGTAACTACTTAGTGCAATGGATAGATAACGTCATACCACCACCTACCCTAAGTAGTACGTTCTTTTAGAAGACTTAGTTCATTCAATTCACATAAGGTTCACCAAGACTTCCCTTTCGGAATGCCTATCTAG